ACATAATGAAATCACACTGGGATCCAAATTTGGAAAAATGCAAGTCAGTCAGAATATTTTCAGGTGCAGATTGAAACAGACATAAATTATTATTACCAGAACAGATTAAACAAGATTTGGCTTGGAAGTCAGAACCTAAAATCAATGAAAAGCAGATTCACGAGGCTTAAATTATGACATGAACGGTTCTGGGAGAGATTAGATATATTTTAAAAGTTGTGGGGGTGATCTCAAAAATTTTGAAGTGGAAAAATTCAAATGGGTTTTAGAATGAGCTATCATGGCAGCGGAAGAAAGTTGGAGGGCAGAAACCTTGGATAAACCGGAACAGGACAACAACAGAAAATAAGATGGTTTCAAGATTAAAAATACTACAGCTAAGAAAGAATCTCAAGAATACTCTATAGAAGCAAATGAAAGATGAAAATACAGGTAGTTCTTAGCTTATGAACGGTTGCTTAGCAACCATTTGAAGTTCCGTTGAACCAATTGGGGGAGTGGGGTACTTATGACCCAAATTCAAAGTCCCAATGGTTGTCTCCTGGTCATGTGACCTTACTTCTAACGGTTGGCAAGCAGGCCACATATACAGCCAATCACAGTGTGCCATTGGTCATGTGACTGTTTTACAACCATTTTGCCAAAAAACAGTGTTTATTTCCAGTTTTTTGCAGAGCCACACTCATACCAACATAGTTTGCTTTATGATCGCCACAAAAAGGTTATTAAAATCAGGTTGGTCACATAACCATTTTACATCCTTCATAACTTATAGCCATGATGGCTATAACTATCTGTTCTACAGTATAAAATGCTTCACAAAAAAAATGACAGAGGGACAGAATCATATGCAGAGAGATTCAAAAATATAAATGACAACCTTAGACAATAAGGTACAATAGACAATTGCTCTAATGTCAAATTGTCATATAAGAATAGAATAACTGTTGGAAGGGACCTTCTAGTCCAACTTCCTGCTTAGACAGGAAACCCTATATCGTTTAGGACAAATAATTATCCAATTGCTTCTTAAAAACTTCCAGTGTTGGAATTAAGTAAATCATCACATTATTATCAAGTAAGAAATCATTAAGATTAAATGAATTACTATTGAATGTGTAAAGTTGCAAGAAAAAGATGTGGGGTCCTTGGTGATCTCTGAGCTTGGTTGTTTTCTTGCAGACATGTCATTATCCAAACTAGGTGACATTATCAGTGCAAAAGAATTAAAATTTTAACCTCCCTATATCAACCAATGTGAATTAAGCCATGCAGCCAAGAAATTGGGTAATGTACAAATTGGGTAATATTACATATCTATACCAAAGAAATTAGATGCAAAATAGTATGCACATTATTGAATTAATTCCTTATGGAAGTCAAATTTCAATTAAGTACGTACAAGGAAGAATACACAATGTATTGAGAAAGAAAGATTAAATAGCCAGACAGGATTCCAAAAAATAAAGAATGTCATAGCAGAGAGCTAACACAGGATAAATAAAGAGCAAGAAAACATCTTTGTTTTCTTCACAAGAGCAAGGCTGTTTATATAAGGATGTATAAGGCTGCCTTACTCACTCAGTATGACTCTGGACAACGTACAGCATAAACATAGAATAATATTTTTATTTATCAAGTTTCTACCTCACCCATCTCACAAGTGATTCTGGGCAGTTTACAAATAAAATAGTATAAAACACATCTAAAAGTACAGTTAAAAACAAAATTAAAAACAAGGTTAACATTTACAAGTTAAAAGTAATACATCAATGTTAATGATAATTTAAAAACTAACCACAACTGATGTATACATACAAGTGTTAACATGTAAAATGGTACAGAAAGTATTGTAGCAATCATATTAAAATGTAGACTACTGTGAAGCTAATAAACTTATTGATTTTATTCTTATGAAGAAGCTCTTTATGTAAAAAGAACATGTGCTAACAAACTGAATTTAGAGAAATTTATTATTTAGGGAAGGGAGTGAAATGAGGACATACCTCAACTCCATGTTTATTGAGTTGTACACTGAATACATTATTAAAAGGGCAGGACTAGAATAGATGACATCTGAAATCAAAATAATATTAGTATTTTGCCTCAGGCAGGATTTGAACTAAACAATTTCCTGGTTTCTAGCATAATGATCTAACCACTACCCCAACTGGCTCTTAGCAAATTCATACTTGACATCAAAGAACTGAAGATGGTAGTATTGTTTTCTTGGATTTAAGAATATATACCAATGGATAGTATAGTGGTGAAATAAAGAGGAGTTTTGCCTTCCCCCTAAAATCAATAACAGATCAATACAAGATCATGATAATAACAGTCGGAATAGTTAAACCAACAGTCAGAATGGATCTGGAGACAATAAGAATCTGAGAAACCAGATTCTAGAGCAGAGGTGTCCAACCTTGACAATTTTAAGACCTGTGAACTTCAATTCCCAGAATTCCCCAGCCAGTTGGCTGGGGAATTCTGGGAATTGAAATCTACAATTCTTAAATACCTTCACCTTGCACTGGATTGAGGCTGATTTTAAATAGTCATGCATACAAATTCATCAGTACATATGTAGATATATAGATCTTGTATGTAAATACAATATAATTCGGCACATTGAAAAATACCATTCAGGCAGCTTTCAAATGCTCTGAGGTTTCAGCGTAGTAATGCTGAGTGTCTGTGACCTAAAATTAGCGGATTAGCTGTAGATCCTGAGAAGACCAATCAGTTACTTGGAGCTGCAGGCTTCAATTTTCAGGATTAATCTGCCTTTCCTTCTTGCCCGCGGTTTGGAAAAGTTGCTTTTATCTCTTGGGTGTAATTTGAGCAGGAAGCTTGCTCAATATGGAAGGATTGTAACTACTGTGCTGGCATTTTTAGATGCCTTCATGAGAAACCAGACAGCAGACTTTGCTTCCTAAAACATGAATTTAGCTAGTTTACCAGAGGAAATGCTGAAGTGATGGGATGATTTTCCTTGTATTCTAGGAAGATATCCCGTAGTGAATATAATACTATACAGATAGTCCTTGACTTACAGCCATTTGTTTAGTGACCGTTCAGAGTTACAGTGGCATTGGAAAAAGTGACTAATGACTGGTTTTTACAGCATCCCGATGGTCACGTGCTCAGATTTTGGTTGCTTGGCAACTAGCACGTATGTGTGACAGTTGCCTTGTCCCTGGGTCAGGTAATCACCTTTTGCGCTCTTCTGACAAGCAAAGTCAGTGAGGAAACCAGATTCACTTAACAACCGTGTTACTAACTTAACAACTGCCATGATTCACTTAACGTGTCGAGAAAGGTGGTGTTGGAAGAAATGTCCATCTGGATTCAGTTCCAAGTGGGGAAAAAGACACTGGAATCAAGTTGCTTGGAAAGAAAGAAGGTTTACTAATGAACAGGATCGCATGCCTTGGAGCTCCTGGGCGAAAAGGGAAGAGATACTGAGAGTGCCAGGGATTTTATGCCCTCTGTTGGGCTTTGAATTTGAGCTTGTGTTCTAATTTGTTGTCATAGTCCCATGGGGCCATGCAGGGGTAACTTTGTAGGTTGTCTTTTGAGTCCCAGGCTTGGTTGACTCTTGTTGGTTGACGATGTAATGAAAGGGCTTTTGCCAATTCCTATTATGGCTCTGCCTGAAGGAGGTAGATCTTTGTTATGTAGAATAGACTGGCCCAGGCCTTAATGGCCCATTAATAAAGGGAGGGGGCTGAGTTTCTACTTCTCTTTTAGGGAAATATTCTGCCTTTTTAGTATATCCTAAAATATTTCATTTTCCCAGGAGAGGGGTGGGCTTTAACTGCCAACAGTGGTATAATGGGGGCCAGACTCACTTAACAGCTGTCTCACTTAACAAAAATGAAATTTTTGGACTCAATTGCAGTCCAAATTTGAGAATTCCCTATATTCAGATTTTCTTCAATTCAGCCTCGTAATTGACTAAATTTTTCCCCTTTCAGGCATGCACCTAGGTTTGCTTTCTTACAAATCTAAATGTTGACTGTGACCAAATTTTAGACTGTTCTTCTCTCATAGCTATCAGTTTCTCTGCCCTTTGTACCCTTACACCCACTTAACTTATCTTTAGTATGTGCACAAATTAGAATATCAGGAGCTTTTGCCACTAGTCCCTTAATGTGTACAATATGTGAAGTCGATTTTATCATAGCAATGGATTTTGTATTTTATACTTTAGTTTTGCACTAGGTTGAACATAAATCCATAATTACTTATCCTGATGAGGACGGCAGAAAATATTGTTGGTAGTTTACTTTCTTCTGTCCAGGACATAACATATAAGCGCTGTTTGAGCAGGGTCCTCAGTATTGTCAAGGATGCTACACATCCTCTCTATGGCCAGTTTTCCTTGTTACTTTCTAGGAAGGAGCTTCATGGTATCTGAAGCAGAATATCTGGATTCAGCGTATATGGAGTTCCTCAGTCATCCAAAGGTGCTTTTTCAAGAGGCAATTAGACTTCCTAGTTTTTCTTTGAAGATGTTGTGCTTCTCATCCAAGAAGCTTCTTCAGAGCTAAAGGATGAAAAGTGAAACATCTTCAAAGAAAAACCAGGAAGTCCAGTTGCATCTTAAAAAGCACTTTTAGGACATCTGGATTCAGTCACAGCTTTATTCCATATAGTATCAACCCTGTGAATGCTCAAAGTCCCCTCTTTCCACTATATATTGAAAATGGACAGTGGTGTGTGTGTGTGTGTGTGTGTATAGCATGTGTATATGTGTATTATGTACGTGTATGGGTATATACTTTTTTTTAAGAGTGGGCAACAGAATTTCATTTTTAATATATGCCAGTGTGCGCACAGTAAATAAAGCTTGTCTGTCTGTCTGTCTATCTGTCTGTCTATCTATCTATCTATCTATCTATCTATCTATCTATCTATCTATCTATCTATCTAATTTTCTCAGGGCTCCTTGGAAATCAGAATGCTTAAATCTCCTTGTTGTCTTTTCCTACCTTAAGAGATTGACCATAATCTACTGCCACGTTCCCGCCGCCTGCTCCTCTTGCTCAACCCCTTTGGAGGCAAAGGTAACGCATTGCAGTGGTGTCAGAGTCACATCCTTCCCATGATTACTGAGGCAGATATCAGCTTCAACTTGATCCAAACAGGTAAAGCTCCAACAGAGGGGGGGGAAAGTGACCTTAAGAATACTAGATGACTTTATCTCTTGATGGCCTTCTCCATGCTGGTACCTTCCAGATGCCTTAGGGTTGCAGCTCCCAGAATCCCACTGGCCCTGCAAGTTGGAATTATGGGAATCAAAGTCCATATGCATCAGAAGACCAGCAGTATGGGGGAAGTTGTCCTAGGAAGCAAATCATAACCTATAATAATTCCTTTCAAGGGATTAATTTTTTGGAACCATCATGGGTAGAACAAGAATGCAAAACTGATTTAGGGATATATTCAATGACTATGGTTTTCCAGGATGCCAGTGGTGGTGATGAGGATGATGATATTCTTTGCCCTTTTTTTAACTAGAGCAATCCTTATTTGAACTAATTTCTTATAGTAGTTAAGGCAGCAAACTAAAAAAATCAAGAGATTGTGAGTTCTAGTCCCGCCTTGGGCATGAAACCAACTGGTGACCTTGAGCCGGTGATTCTCCTAGGAAGCAAGCAATGCTGAACCACTTCTAAAAATTCTGCAGAGGAAATGGCAGGGACTTCTTCTTGTCCAGGCAATCACTAGGAGTCAACTCTGACTCACACACACACACACACACACACATACACACACACAAAATCCTGCTTATATTACGTGTTTTGATTCTTTTATATATCAAAGTAGTGAGAAACAATATTTTTTGGCAACTGTGGCCACAGAGCATTCTAGGACAAAAGAAAAGAGTTGAGACACCATCAATTCTTGGATCAAAATGGCAAGATTTGTCTCCTCTCACCCTTGCCGCATGTGGCGTAGATCTCTGGTTGATTTATCTGGGTGTTGTTAAGTCAAGTGGTAGAGATTTCCCACTTCCAGTTTTTTTAACCATGAGAACAGCAGAAGAGCTCTAAATTTGACTGGTTTACACTACTGAAAAGAGAAAGCTAGAAATAGGGAAAACTAAGAGTGGGTTGTGGAAAATATAATGTGAGCTCAGTCAACTTTTAACATCCCATGTTGATTATGAGATGGAGAGGAAAACCCAATATTATTGAAATGAAATCTAATTTAGGTAGCCCTTGGCATATGACCATACTTGAGCCTAAAATTCTGCTAAGCAAAAATGTTAAGTGACTTTTGCCCAATTTTACAACCTTTTTGGCCACAATTAAGTGAATCACTCTAGTTGTTAAGTTAGAAGTCGATTGTTAAGTGATTCTGGCTTCCCTGTTGACTTTGCTTGTCAGAAGGTTGCAAAAAGTGATCACATAACCCTGGGACACTGCAACTCTCTTAAATATATGCCAGTGGTGAAGCATCTGAATTTTGAACATGTAACCACAGGGATGCTGCAATAGTCGTCAATGTGAAAAACAGTCATTTTTTTCAGTGCCATGTAAGTTTGAACAGTGCCCAAATGAACTGTTGAAGACTACCTGTATTCTGCACTGTGGGTTAAGGTTGGTGCACTTACTTTATTGCTAAATTGAACCAAGATGCTTCAAAAAATCATCAAAACAGAAGGATAGATGTGTGTTTACTATTCATGTTTTCACCAGGTTAATCTTGGAATGATAGTGGAATTAATCTCCAAACAAAAAATAGATTTTGTTGTGTGTAGAAATGGCTGCAACCAACAGTTCTCCAAAGAAATAAAGCCACAAGTTTTGATGCCCCATTCTTGAAAATAAAAAATCCAGCTGCTAAACTCAATACTATTCTCATTCATTCATATAGTGATCTATGGGGAGAGAAAACATGATGTCTTCTTGGCAGACCCACATATTTAAAAAAAGATATAAAGAAAACTAACAGCTAGAGGATTGGTGAGATTCAATGAAATTGTGCTAAATAGAACATACTTTTTTTTCTCACAAGATGATATGCTTAGTGGATCACAGTTTCTTGTAGAAAACAATGAAACTATCATAGACAATTCTATGTAGCATAAATCATAGACATCTGTGAGTTAGATTAGCGAAAAGAAATCTCAAAATTCAGCATTAGCTATTAGAATTTGGTATATCTGCCTTTGCTTCAGGGTTCTCCAGAGGGCAGGATTGACTATATCTGCAGAATGATCTAGAATGTACTAGGTTTTACCAAATAAACCTGAAGATCTTGTAACATTTGAGAACAGGGGTGTCCATAAGAACACTTATACAAGAATGGAGCAGCTGTGAGGGTATTTTTTTGGGGGGGAAAGTATTTCTCCAGCCAAGCCTTCCCTAGGAAAACTTTAAAGAAATACAATTTCCCTTCCACCTCTGTCCTTCTCTCCAGTGTTTTTCACCACTGAGAATAATTATGCTTCCTGCTGCTGATGTTGCATGTAACATCATAAACACAAAACACCTCACCCAAAGCTTTGCATAATCACTAAAATATGATTAGAATTTATTGTTCAGCAAAATGTGGAAATTACAGCTATTTCTTTATAGCCCAGATTTTCATCCACAGCACTAGTCACACACCACTCTGTACAATAACTTCAACCATTCAGTAATTAATGCAACAGCGTCTCCATCCCATATATTTATAAACAGCCATTTCCTTGTCACAGAAGACAAGTCACAGTTGTCTCCAGGAGACCAGACACTGAAGAGGCTGTCCGGTCAGAAAACAAGAGTTGAAGCTCAGCTACTTAATTTTATGCCTGTCCTTGTCTTCCCCAGAGAGACAGAACCATGCCCGGGAGCTGGTGCAGAGCATCTCTTTAGATGAATGGGATGGTATTGTGGCCATTTCAGGAGACGGACTCCTTCACGAGGTATGGTTCAAACAACAACAACAAAAAGACAATTCATAGCTCCTGCTCAAAACCACTTCTGGTTACCTGTAGAGCTTCTTTGTTGCTTCCCTTAAAACTGGAAAAGCATTAAGTTCCCTGGTCTATTTGGGTGGGATTTGGAGAAGAAAATACCTCTCTCCTTCCACCTTCTATCCTCACTGTGATAAAAATCAATCATCATAATTATTTCAGGGAACTTTTCACAAGCCAATAGCTCAATTTCTAAACAACATTTTGTGTACTATTATTATAGACGTACTCACCTTCCACTAACATATATTTATGGCCAAGTTAAAAATTTAAAGATAGCTGTGAAAACGTATAAAGTGGGAGTGGGGAAAAGACGCTAATTGAGAAAATTGGAATTTCCTGGATTTTGTTTTGTATTTTTCTATCTATGTCTTTTTGCTAAAATCTGGCTTTTAGGTTTAATCTATGTAGTGCACAGGCAGACAGATCAGCCAAAGATTTTCTGTAAATAGTGCCTTATTCCTGAGACAGATTTTTGCTACATTAGCTCATCCTTTCCTCAATTGGCACTCTCCATGTATGTTGAATTTTAATCTCCATATAAAAGAAGTCCTCGTCTTATAGCCACAATTGGGAACAGAAATTCCACCTCTAAGCAATGTGGTCATAAAATAGTCGTGCCCAATTTTACAACCTTTTTTGCCCTCATCATTAAGTGAATAATGCAGTCAAGTAAATCCAGCTTCTCCCATTGACTTTGCTTGTCAGAAACTCTGCTGAGCAAATCCTCAGCCCAAAGTGTGGTTGTGTGACCATGGGAGAAACAGTCATTTGTAGCTTTGAATCTGGATCATAAGTACCCCTATATAGGTCATAGTTTGGAACAGCCACTAAGTGATCAGTCATTAGTCGAGGACTACCTGTATTCACCCTTCTCTGCTTCCCTTTCAGGTTATTAACGGTTTGATGGAACGCCCTGACTGGGAGGAAGCAGTTAAAATGCCTCTTGGGATTCTTCCCTGCGGATCTGGGAATGCCGTGGCAGCTGCTGTTAATTATAGTGCTGGGTAAGTGAGAAAGCTTCACTAAAATGTATACAGTGGGGTATTCCAAGGCTCTTTCTTAGGCCCAGTATTCTTCAATATCTTCATCAATTATTTGGATGAGGGGATAGATGGGGAACTCATCAAATTTGCAGACAACACCAAGCTGGCAGGAATGGCCAACACTCCAGAAGATAGGCTTAAGATACAGAAGGATCTTGACAGACTTGAACACTGGGCACTATCTAACAAAATTCAATGATGAAAAAGGTAAGGTTCTGTATTTAGGCAAGAAAAACCAAATGCACAGGTGTAGTATAGGTGGTACCTGGCTCAATAGTAGTAACTGTGAGAGGGATCTTGGAGTCCTAGTGGACAATCACTTAAATATGAGCCAGAAGTGTGCTGCAGCTGCACAAAACCCCCAATGCATTCCGAAGTTGCATTTATAGAGGGATAGAATCAAGATCCCATGATGTGTTATTACCGCTTTATAAAACCTTAATAAGACCACATCTAGAGTACTGCATCCAATTTTGGTCACCATGATTAAAAAAGATGTTGAGACTCTAGAAAGAGTGCAAAAAGAGCAACAAGGATGAGTAGGGGACTGGAGGTTAAAACATATAAAGAATGGTTGCTGGAATTGGGTATGTCTATTTTAGTGAAAAGAAGGACTAGGGGTGACATGATAGCAGTGTTCTGATATCTCAGAGGTTGCCACAAAGAAGAGGGAGTCAGGCTATTCTCCTGATCACCTGAGGGCAGGACAAGAAGCAATGGGTGGAAACTTAATCAAGGAGACTGAGGGGAAATTTCCTATAGTTAGAACAATTAATTTCTGCTCCAAGATTGAATGCTCCAACATTGGAAGTTTTAAAGAAGAGATTGGACAACCATTTGTCTGAAATGGTATAGGATTTCCTGCCTGAGCAAGGGGTTGGACTAGAAGACCTCCAAGGTCCCTTCTAACTCTGTTATCATGTTTCTGTTCTAAAATCCTGGGAAGGGGCGGCCACTGTCCATCATGATCTTAGCCTTGCAATTAGCCCAGTAACCCAAGCTAGAAGGTGTCAACATTGAATCTTGTGTTCTCTAAGGTTCAGTCCTTGGATAGGTGAACCTAAACCATGCAAGAGTATCAGGGAGCATGCATAGAAAGTCTTCTTTCTTCTCCCACAAATAACAACTTCGTGCCTGCGATTCATAAGCGAAGCTTGCAGGACATGGCTTTGAAACGGATCCCATAATTAATTAGATAAAAGTGGCCTGTTTGAAAAGATGCATAAGCATTTATTAGGGCAGAGAGGAGCACTGACATTAATTGGCCTGCTTTGTGGTGTGGGGTAATGAGTATCATAACCATTTACTAAGTTTCTATCCTGCAAAGCTCCACCCATGTTTCACCCTCCTAATAACTTGTAAGGATCTTGACAGTGAGCAATACTTGGCTGATCATGTCCGGCCTGGCTCCTACTTGGATGGGAGATTGCTAAGAAATAGCAGGGCTGGGTGTTCGAAGAGGATACAGAATTAAGACAATAACATCCCACTTCTGAAATATAACCAAGAAAAAGTGCATTACCAGAAGTTGAGCTTGATTCAGAGACTTTCCCTTTAATTCTGTACTTACCATTTAAATAAGAATATGTTGTTTTTCCTTTTTTTTTTAGATTTTGAAAAAAAGGGGAAAAAATGGATGGGTTAAGTCTCTATAAGAATGTCAACATTTTCAAGCCAAACAGGATGAAATGTTGGTCTTAACCTCCATGTACTTATTTATGTATCACATTTTTACACCACCCATCTTATTTAAGTGACTTTAGGCAGTTTACAATAAAAATTACTCCTCTAGATTTGAATAGAAAAAGCTTATACAGGCTTAAGTCTCCCCCCCCCCCCCCAAAGATCTTGTGATTAAGAACTGATACAAAAAATCCCCTCTTATTTACTAATAAATAATAACAACAACCTTCCAGTGTAATGTGAGGCTAGAATGAACGGTTCAAGGGAGATTTCTCTCCAGGTGGGGATATGTATGTCTTGAGAAGTATGAGCAAGTGACATATCCTCTGAATCAAATATTATGACAAATGCCTAATTACGTTGATCAGGGACCATTACCGTGTCTGTAGGCAGCCCTCGCCCCAGAAGATAAAAAGCAAAGTTAAAACCCCAAGTGCATCCTCCAGCTGTAAAATGATTGTCCACCTATTTTGTTTCTTAAATTTGCAGGTAAAAGCAGCAGGTAGCCCTCAACTGGCAACCATTTGCTTAGGGATTGTTCAGTGTTGCTGAAAAAAATGACTTGTGACTGTTTTTCACATGACCATTGCAGCATCCCCATGATCACGTGTTCAGAATTCAGATCCTTGGCGGCTGACCCGCATTTATGATGGTCGCAGTATCCCAGGGTCGTTTGATCCCCACTTTTGTGACCTCCTCATAAGCAAAGTCAACGGGGAAGCCAGATTCACTTAACAAATGTGGCAAGAAAGTTCGTAAAATGGGGCAAAACTCACTTAACAAGTTTCTCCCTTAGCAACATAAATTTGGCCTCAATTATGGTCATAAGTCGATGGCTATCTATATATTGTTTCTGAACGCTTATTCACTGCTGATGTCCTGCCCTTTTTGCCCTTTTGAAGAGATGGAGATTGGTGGATTGCATGGCACGGCCATCCACTTGACAGGTGACCGGGAGCAGTTTTCATTGTTCTGTCTCTGTTTTTTTGTCCCATTGGCCAGGTTTGAGCAAGTCTTGGGCCAGGAGCTGCTGACAAACTGCACCCTTCTGCTCTGCCATGGGGCAGTTTCTCCCTTGGACCTGGTCTCCATCACACCTTCATCAGGCTCCCGTGTCTTCTCTTTCCTGAGTGTCGCTTGGGGTTTCATTTCAGATGTGGACATCGAAAGTGAGAAGTATCGGCACATGGGCCCAGCCCGGTTCACCTTGGGGACCATGGTTCGCCTGGCTTCCCTCAACACTTACCGGGGCCGGCTGTCCTATCTTCCTGCTATGGGTTGTGCAACTCATCGGCCGATTTTGCGCAGTATCACCGTGGCTGCCAATGGGAGCCTTCCCTTCCAACGCCTGCCCCTCCACCGCACGGTGTCCGATATGGGCCTTTGTGAGGAGCGCCAAGCCTTCTGCTATCGTGAGATGGAGTCAGCTGAGGAGCCCACTCCCTCACCCAGCTCCCCGCCTTCTTCTTCCAGCTTCCAAGCATCCAACTTCAGTTTTGAAACCTTGTCAGAAGTGACGGTAGACAAGGAGTCCCAGCATACCGGTCTGCCCAAAGTTCTACCAAACCGGTTGCCTTCTGCCCGGCAAATGCATGGTCCTTTGGATGACTTTCTGGCCCCACTTGAAGAACCGGTGCCCAAGTCCTGGGTGACGGTGGAGGATGATTTTGTGCTGGTGTTGGCCATTTACCAGACTCATTTAGGGGCAGACCTCTTCACCATGCCCACAGCTGGCTTTAATGATGGTCTTATCCATCTTTGCTTTATCAGGGCAGGTATCTCCCGGGCAAGCATGATTCGCCTCTTCTTAGCTATGGAGAAAGGCACCCATTTTGATCATGAGAATCCTTATTTTACGCACCTCCCTGTCCGAGCTTTCCGCATAGAGCCTCTCACTCACAAGGGAATCATCACTATTGATGGGGAACGAGTGGATTATGGACCCATTCAGGGACAAATCCATCATGGGATTGCCAACTTAGTTACTGGGATCAACAGATCTAAGCTGTCTACCTTCTGATGGGATGTGTTAATTCTCTTACAGAGACTTAACAGTTCTAATTGTGTTTCCTTCTATCTGTCCTTCAGCCACTAGAGGGCAAGCTGCTTAAAATGACTCATTACCCTTCTAGGCTTTTGAGCGCACACATCATATATCTTAATCAATGCATCTAGAGTGTTTTAACCATTGCTTTCCAAGAGATGCAATAATCTAAAGATGACTTCCTTCCTTCAACTCACTGCCTGGACAGGCCACTTCAGGATTTTCCATCGCTCAGAAGCCACTGGACTCCAAGTCTCTTGATTTGAGTGAGGTGGAACACAAATATAAAGTCCTTATGTCTATTTCTAATCCCTCAATTATTCACCTGGGATTTCCATAATTCCACCCAGCATTTCTTTCTGTCATACTTTACTAACCCTAACTTAGCTCTTCTTATAGGGCTTAGAGGCACCTTGGCAATAGTCTTTCTCACTACTGAAGGTTGGAAACAGTGAGCAGCCATCATTCTATCCACTCTATATTTTTGCCAATACTTTAAAAATCCTGGTTTACTTAAAGCTGTAGGGCCAGGATGATCGTTTAACTCTAGAAGTCCCAGAAGAATTGAACCCTAAAGTCCCCTCTGTCCTTTAGAACTGAAATTTGCCTGATTTTTCAGCACTTGATTTAAAACACTGAACTTTGCATTTAAGAAAAACTTTAGGTTCCACTGGTGAAACGTGCTTCCTCTGTGCCCTTTCTCCAAACGGCCAGTCAGCCTCCTTCCTATTCCACATTTGCTCACATTTCAAAAGAGCTAAAGGATGGGGACTGAGCAAGGCAGACCCTGACGGTTCTGCCCTTGACGTGCACTCTTGATAGGCTACCTATCCTCCATATAAACTCGAGTTGGGAAGCTTAGGTCCTTCCAAATACTGATGGACTACAAAACCCATCCCTGATTGCTGGTCATATGGGCTGGGGCAAAGGAATACTATTTGAAGACCACAGGTTTCCTTTAGCTTCCCAGCCTATAAATACAGGCTGGGAGAATTATGCACCTGAAACTGGACATTGAATGTACTGGGTAACTTGCTAAATGCTGTTTGTTGGAGTGTTTTGTTGTCTGTTTTGTTTAGATACATTAATTAAGGCCAATTGTTTTGTCTTCTCTCCTGGTTTACAGGGGGTTGCACTTGGGTGGTCCTGCTATTTTTCCTCTCCATGGATGACCAAAGCTGTATAAGGAAAGGAAAAGGGCCCTGTTTTCTGAAACCTACAATTGTTGATTTCTAACCAGCTTATGGTATGCTAGAGGGAGCTTGAAGTACCTTCTCCCTTTCATATCATGACTTAAAAGTGGCTTCATTTTAGGAATACACTGGATGAATGTAACTGGATTTTTCTTGTGGGAAGAATTGTGTTAAGGTGGCTGTTTTTTCCCTCCCCACCATGTGGGGGCTAACAAGAAATTAAATTAAACTGTAATAGATAAGTGTCTGATGTGAGACAATGCTTATAATATGTGTCCTCTTTCTCTTTCTTTCTCTGTTGTAATTAATTTCAAACCAGGAGATCAAGTTGGTTAACTTCTCCCTTGTCCAACTTTTCCCAAGTTCATGCAGTGATAATCTCTACGGCAAGTAATCGCTTAAGATTGGATCTCAACTCACTTCAGTTTCTATGCCAACTTTAATAGAAACTGGCTGATTTCAAAAAGCTTTAGCAGGAGTGCCTGATTAATACTTCAATGAGAGACCACATTGGAAAGCCAAAACCATAGGAAAGCTGGAAAAATATCCTGAACCTGGGAGAAAACAGCAAAACTACTTCTGTAACATTTCCAAGAAAACTGCACGGACATAAATACTCCAGGATTCAACATTTGGCCTTCACTGACTTGAGCATGGGGTTATTCTGTAAACATTGGGAAAGATAAACGTGAAGGCATGAGACTTTCTCCTTCGTGTGGATGATTTTGGACATCTACCGTGCAAATTTGGACATGTCCTGTTGCATCAGCCTTTCTTGGCTCTGTCATCAAGCTGCAAGCTGGAAGAAAGCACGCAAGTGAAGCAGCAGCCTAAAGGATAGCTGTTCCTTGTGGTCAGTCTGTCTTCTGGGAGAGTTGCAAGAAGAGGACTGAACAGACAAAAAAGATGACAGAGTAAAGGGGAGGCGGGGAGCGGTTATGAAAGCACAGAATCCAGCCCATAAAAACAAGAGGACAAGGCCAGGAGCTGATACCTTGGGTTGTATTTCATTAACCAAATCTTAGAAGCTTAGGCATTTAGGCCCCTGAGCCCAATCCTTCCGTAGTGCAAAAAAAATCCAAATTAAAACATCCCAGATAGGAGGCTGTGTAGAGTCCAGCTAAAGTATCTAGCAAAAAAGAGCTATCGCCTTCCTTAGTCAATAAGCTTTAATACTGATTATCTCTTGTTAAGAATCCTTTTTCTCATGTTCAGTTGAAGTCTGCTTCCTCATAACTTAAATCTATTACCTCATGTCCCGCAGATTGAAATGAGAGCAAGCTGGTCTTGGACTTTCCTACTCGGGCATTTGAAGAGAGCTACTAGATCTCTGGTCCATCTTGTCTTCTCAAGACCCAGTACTCCCGTTTCAGTCTTTATTCTCAGGAGTTAATTTCTATCTCCATCCACACCCCGCACTACCACCAGGGAATAATCATAGTGTAGCTTTGTAGTTGCCTCAGTTACAAGCATCCTGATGATGCTGGGTCTACAATAAGGATGAGCAGAGAGTAGATTTGGATCCATTGATCAATTGTAGATAGATGGGGGGTGGGGGTGGAATTGTTTAATATTGGCGGCAGCAGGAACAAAGTAACAGCTTCCCTTCCTTAATTTTAGGAAGTGTGCTGGAAATGAAGCAAACCTAGCAAAATAGGGAGTTTTTGGGTGGAGAGTGACCCATATAGTTAATCCTGGACTTAGGATCATAATTGAGCCCTCAATTTCAGTTGTGATGGTCATACATTGGATTACCACATGATTACGGACAACCTTCTTTTGCAGAGGTGATTAAGTGAATGCCATGGTGGTTAAGCAAAACCTATGCTATGGCTGGTTGTTGTTTTTTTTTTTTTTTTTGGGGGGGGGGGGGGGGGGGGTATAAATTGTGGTCACATGACCGCAGGATGTTGCAAATGATTAAATGCAGGCTGGTTGTAAATACCGATAATACAGTCGGATGATGTTGGTGGTGCCGGGGGGGGGGGGGGGAACGGGGGACGGACAGATGTTAGAACTTGAAATCCGGGATACAACTAGCCTTTTTGAGCTCTGTTGTAACTTCAAAAAGCCGCTAAGTGACTGGGCATACGTCAAGGACTACCTGTACATTCCCTTTCTGAGTGCCACCACAAATTCCTTCTTTTTAAATTGCATCCCAATTGAGGCTTTGATTTTCTGCTAAGAGATTTGCTTGATGGAAGGGAAAAGAAAAGGCTAATGCAAGTCTAAATCCCTCTCTCACCTGGACCATATAGAGAGGATCTCAAAGTGTGTCAAAAAAAAAAAATGGCATTGGGAACATGATGGCAAAAGTCACCGCTGCTGGGCTCCAGGTGACTTAGAGCATGTCCTTCCCATGGAGGAGACCCTTTTTCTCTCCTTTTAAAAGGCCATAATTGTTGCTAACCTCCATGGCGGTATATTAAACCCCTCTACTGCTTGTTGCTCTTTAGCAACTGAAATATTTATAAATAACATTGAACAATGCATAAAATTCCTTAGCTTGAACCTGGCTATGAAAATGAGAGGTTGAATAGTTACCATGAAACATTTGTAAAAAAACCGTTTTGCTGATATTTGGCCCCTTCATCCCCATGTTGTAGAAACATCTGAAATGGGTGTGCAGCTGCTAGCTGAATTGAGTTATACTTTTTTCATGGGGTTCTTGATTTCAGAGATGGTGCAAATGGTGGAGTAGCGTTTCTCCACCGTAGCAGCTTGAAGACATGTGGACTTCTACTTCCTATATTCCTGGGTCAGAAGGGCTGGCTGGAGAATTCTGGGAGTTGAAGTCTGCCCATCTTCAAGTTGGCAGGATTTGAGAAACACTGATGTGGAACATGCAACCTGATTCCCTAAGGCAGTGATGGCCAACCTTTCCGTCCTCGCGTGCCAAAAGTGTGCGCTCGCACACATGCCAGCGCCCATAATGCATGCGGGAGGTCCCACACCCCCTGCGCATCTGCACCCCCTCGAATGCGCATCGTGCTTTTCTGAACATGCGTACGTGTCCCCACATACCCCATCCCCCGCACATGCGTAGCAGCTACCCAACGATCAGCTGGTGGGTGGCGCATGCGCCTGTGCAGTGGACTTTCTCTGGGGCGAAGGCTCGCGTGCCAGCGAAGATGGCTCTGTATGCCACTTCCGGCACATATGCCATAGGTTCACCATCATGGCCCTAAGGTATCCTTTGAAGACATCTTACCCCCATTTGAGTGTCCCAATGAATGTTTTACAGTTCCGATGTTTTCCAGTTACAACCCTGATTCAGGGCACTGGAAAACAGCTAGGATCAGCTGGTAGCAGGAACATGAAGTTTTTCTGGCTGTGCTTTGGAGAAAAGGAGATATTTTGGTCCAGATGTCTTGATTGGGCACCCCTCTTCTCAATTGTCCTTAAGGATGGAGCATTTCCTGTGCTCATCTTTCTTATCCGTGTGGCCAAGGATGGTTGTTGCCAACAGCCAGGCAAGAAAGCCAGGGAGCTTTGAAGGATGGGCTTCTTTGAGGTTAAGGGCCCTGGTAGATAAAAAATCCAGCTCTGCTTCTTCTGCTGAGTTAACATTAGTATTACTGTTCTGACCTCTTCGGGAATATTTTTGGCCCTGGTGGCATGGAAGATCATTGAGGGATCTTTTATTTCCTGGACCCATCTCATGTGCAAGGAGCAATATCAAGTATTGTCTTTATTCTGTTAATTGCAGTTAATTATCTCGAGAAGGATACTAGACATGCTCTCAAAGTCATAATATTAACTGCTTGTTTTCTTATATATGCACATAGGAGTAATTCTTGGATTGCTTAATTGATTTTGAAGCCAGTAGAATTGTTGAATTCATCTTTCCCCCACTTTTCTCACTTTTTCCTCTTTCTATGTATACATCTGTGCTTGGGTGCTGGTACTTGCCTTGACCTAATGAAGATTTTTGTTGAAGTCTAGAATGCGAGAAAATGCCTCTCTCTTTGCTGCTAGCCGTATAAGCCCCCTCCTACTTTGGTCTTGGGGCAGGATAAGAGCGCAGTTCAAAATAAAAAGGATAGCAGGCAAGGCTGTGTATCTTCATCTGGGATTTGCTGTAAATTTTGGCTTCCCAAGAAAGCTATTTTTAAGCAAGGTTTTACAGTGAAACCCTGTTTTCCTCCCTCGCTTCTTCCCTTCCTCCCTCTGTCTCCTCCCTCTCTCCCTTCTTTCATCTCTTTCTTCATCTCCTGTCCATCCATTCCTCCTCCCTCCATGTCTTCCATCCACTTCCTTCTTTCCTTCCATCCATCCATCCAAACCTTCTTTTCAATAATTCCTTTCTTTCTTTTTAGATGCCCTTTCTTTCTTGGCCCTCTCTCCCTTACTTTCCATCTTCTGTTTTCCCAACCAAATTCTTTTCCCAGAGATTGATCCTTCGTAGGCCACTTGAAATTGGTTCACAGGCAGCATGGAGCTTATTCCTGTTCCTGCCTCTTGGCAATTTCAGAAGTTTTTGGTAATGGCAAAAATGTGAATCACATTTCTAAAAAAATATCCTGCAACACATGCAATTGGTAATGGGCACCATCTGAAGGCTTATTTATAATGTGTTAATTTATTATTTGATTTAAGACAGTCTCCCAGTTTCTAGCCTGATATTTTAACCACTACACCAAACTGGTTTTCTGTAGGTTTTTTTATTATTTATTAATTATCCTTTCCCAAATTATCCCAGACTGTCCCACTACTTGGGTAGTGTTCATGTTTATCACACACACCACAGCTTTGGTGTATGTAACCCACAGAGTGATTTGTGTTTTAGTGTTGCTGAAATGAAGCAAAGTTAAAAAATGGGGAAGAGGTGTAGGACAGGGGTCCCCAACCACCGGTCCAGGGACCGGGAGCGGTCCCAGTCCGTGGAACAATTTCTACCGGGCCGCCAGTTTGCTGGGCGCCACCATCTTGTTTTGATGAAAAAGTGCTTCTGGTGAGCTTTTCCGGGTAGAAAGTGGCGTTTGGGTGCTGAAAGAATCCTCGCGCCTTAGTTTCATCGAGGGGGGGGGCAGCTTCGAACAAAACTAAGGTGCAAGAATTCTTTCAGCACGCATGACAAGGTGAGCTGAGCGACCGTCCCGAAGCCCATCGACACAGGTACAAAGGAGGAGTTGAAGGTGGCGGGGAGAAGCGGGGGACGGCTGGCTGGCCGGTCGCTCGGCTCGGCTTGCCATGCGTGCTGATGCCGGTACCGGGCCACAGATGATTTTGTGATGCCGGGCTGCGGCACAAAAAAGTTTGGGGACCACTGGTGTAGGAGACCTCTTAAAAATAACTTTTCATTCCCCCACCCCAATGGAAGAAAAGAGGAAATAGAGATTAAATGTGTGGCCAAATACTTAGCTAGTTATATTATTCTTTGCAATTGGAATAGAAGACATTGTAAAAAGAATAAAACAGCTGAAACTCAAACTGCTGACAGCTGCTACAATGTTATGATTGCAGAGGATGCTGGGAAATGTAGTTTGGGTGAGTAGGAAGTGGGCTTAGTTCCTTTCAGTTGTTTCAGTAGATGACATTTGAAATTTTTGTTTTCTCTTCTTACAATCCCATTGCCAGCCCTAGGAAACATTTCCACACCAACACTATCATTTCCATTTTGGATGGCCCTATTAAGTTTGCGTGAATTAAAACTTGGCTTGTAACCCTTTTCTGTTTGCAGAGGTTTTATAAATGTTGCAAATGAACACAGTCTTCTTATTCTTGTATCTTATCCTTTCGACAGTTGAAAAGGCTTGCTTTTCTGATGCAATTCTGTCTGGTCAGTGCAGTTTAAAAGATATTTGTTTTTCACCCATCTCACTCCCAATTGGTAAAAGGCCTTTTTGCTTAGGCTCTGGAATGCAATGCTCCCACTGAGATTAGATTATTATAATTCTACTTTCTAAGGCTGCCTTTAGAGACAACCTGGAAATAAAACCTCCATGTTGTGGCTCTTTAATTTGTAGCTCATTTTTAAGTGCTAGTTTTGGCTTACCAATTTTAGCCAACATTCAGACCCCATCAGTTGCAAAGAAGACCCCTGGTTTTTTTTTTCTTCCTGCCCGCAATATAACTCAAGGGCTTGAGACTCAGCAAAGGGTCAAGTTGAAAAAACAGTTTTTCCAATAATGATCTCACTTCCGGCAGAATAAACTTCCAGCTGGGTTTGGCAAGCTCCATTTATTGCATGTTTTTAATGGAGTGGTTGATTATTTGTTCATGGGTTGTAATGTTTTTCTAGGTCACACATTTAAATTGCCTGTTTTTGCCTGTTTTGCATGAAGGCTTTGTTGTTTGCATTATCGGGAAAGGGGAAAAAAAAAAACACGGAAGTTTTTCTGGCTCCCAGATGACTTGGAAATGCCAAGAATTGTGTACCAAGCTGCTTTAGAAACGGTGAGCAAAAAGGAGAGAATGGCATCAATGCATCTCCTTCCATTAACAAATGCTGCTTTTTACGTTTCTGGCCTTTCACTGTAAAACCCTCACTGTAAAATCCAGGATATGGTGCCATCAGGATAGGCACATCTTAATTACAAGCCATAATTCTCTCTTTCCACAGCATCTATTTATTCTTGTCCCTGAATGCATTTCAGCCTTGCCTGTTTGTTCCTCCATCTCCTTCCTAGACAGTCAACAACTGTGTAACAGAGGCTGTTCTAGTCTCATCCCTCCCCCGCCCCAACACACACACTTTCTAGCCAAGGCACTTTTCTGATCCTTCAGCTGTGGGGATCTTGTCCTCGACACATAACAACTGGAGAAAATGGGAGAGGGAAGTAATTTGGGATGTTTATCCGTCTGAATGTGTTGTAGAGTTTAAATATTTTGTCTCCAGCTGCCCCTGCTGTGTTGCCTGTCAGCTAAATCATGTTTCAAGTGAATATTCTACAAATCAGTAAAACAATAGCAAAGCAAAAACATCATAATGCAATAAAAGCAATAGTATGAAGCCTCTGGTCTTTGTCTTCTTGTGCTGACTTGACAGAACAGAGGGACATTAGTTTCAGGTCAGATGACAACATTCTCCAAGGGTTAGGGTTGGCTAAGAAGTAATATAAGTAGTCCTCAACAACCATTTTTTTAGCGACTGACATTGCAACACCACTGAAAAAAAATCGAAACAAATTAAGGAGAGAACAAACCTAGAATTGAGATGTTTCCTGACGGAAATGATTAATCGGTGGAATGACTTGCCTTCAGAAGTTGTGAATGCTCCAACACTGGAGGTTTTTAAGAAGAGACTGGACAACCATTTGCCTGAAATGGTGTGG